CAGGCAGGCAGGCAGGCAGGCAGGCAGGCAGGCAGGCAGGCAGGCAGTCAGTCTGTCTGTCAGTCAGTCAGTCAGTCAGTCAGTCAGTCAGTCAGTCAGTCAGTCAGTCTCTCTGTCAGCCAGCCAGCCAGCCAGCCAGCCAGCCAGCCAGCCAGTCAGTCAGTCAGTCAGTCGGTCAGTCAGTCAGTCTGTCTCCCTATCATCTCCTTATCATTTCTATAATGATAGCAAGGTCCTCAGCTGCAAGTGAGACAGGGAAGGCTTGAGATGAGGAGAGAAGTTTTGAAATAGTCATTTGGAAGACAGGGAGAGAAAAGGGAAGATGTGAAAGCATGTCTCCTGGAGAGCAGTGACAGTCCACTCACAGGGAGTGGTCTTGAGTTTAAATGACACCAGGGAGCATGGCTGTGAGGTATAGCTGCACATATGCTGTGCTGAGGGCAGGCAGAGAGCCTGACTTTTCTTGGTTCAGCCAGGGAAAGTCACCGAGTGTCCACAGGGCACTTGGCATTGTGTTAAGTACTGGAAATACAGAAATGAACCAACTTTCTTGTCACTTTTAAGCTTTAGAATAGGTGATGGGGCAGATCCAGCATCTCAATATCTCATCATACTTTTTAAGAGCATTTTAAGCACTGGACAACATGGAAACATAAAAGGACACTGCTCAGCCCAGTTTGGGGGAAGGCTTTTCTGGAGCACATGATACCTGAAGAGAGTACAGGTTTATTAGCTATAGTAAAGTTGAGTAAAGAGAGATTGGAAGATTGGAAAGTGTTCCCTCTGAAAGTAACTCCAGATTTTTTTTTTTTTTTTTTTTTTTTTTTGCTTTAAGAACTGGGGATTGAACTCAGGCCCTTGCGCTTTCCAGGGAAGCGCTTATTCTACTGAGCCATCTCCCCAGCCCCAGAAATTATTATTATTATTTTTTAATTTTATCAAGAAACAAACAGCAATGAGACAGTTTCAAAACTGATTAGTAGGACAGTTTCAATAACTAATACATTGCAAATTGTTGTCTTCATAGTGGTTATTCATAGTACAAGAAGCAGACATAATATCCTGTCCAAATACTATTAGTACAAATCTTCCTTCTCATTGAATTAAGAGAAAGTAGCTGTATATCTACCCTAACTATTTTGTATATACAGATATAAAGTGGTCCTTCATTTGTATCCCCCTTTTTTGTATAGTTTAGTCAGAGATGGGTATTCCATTGCCATTTAAATATTGTACGTGTGTGAATTCAGCATAGTAATTCAATGTAGTCCAGTAGTCCACCATAGTAGTGGGTTTTCTGTAAGACTGGTAATGTCAGAAGTTATTGACTTGAACCTTTTAAAGTTCAGCATATTAATATAGCTTTACTTTTTATACCTCATTTTCATACTTTTCTGCTGGATGGTTAAGAACAAGATAAAGAAAGACCTATATAACAAGAAATGTAAATTTTGTGGGGATCAAACTGCAGCAACCTGAGCCTGACTGCTTTGTTGAAGCAGCCACTTAAAGAACTGAGCTAAGGGGCAGGCCCCCAAAGAAATTAAGATTAGTTTTTTTTTTTTTCTTTTTTTTGTGGAACTGGGGATTGAACTCAACCCTTGCACTTGCCAGTGAAGTGCTTATTCCACTGAGCCATCTCCCCAGCCCCAGAAATGTAACTTTTGTATCTGACAAGGTCAGTCAAATCCCCTCAGAATTTACCCTCAAACCCTGCACTGCAATTTGTAGATCCTTTGTCAGTGTCAGCTGTGTGGATGAGTCATGGCCATTGCTTGACCAATTTGCTGTCTGTGAAAGCCTGAGAGGATGTTTTCTCTCCATGTGACTCTCCTTAGGCACACTCTACATCATTGATCACTTTCCTCTGTGGCCCCATAATCTCCTTGATCAGAAAATGTGGGACACAACTGTAACTCCAGAAATTAGAGTTCATCAGAGAGGAAGAAAGGGAGGAAGGTTGGGTGAGGTATGATATTCTGGGTGTGAACTAAACTTGTGCGGGTAAGAAAATGTGCAGTGTGCATCAATTCCATCGCACTGGAATAAAAGATGGAGGAAGAGTACTGACAGATGGAGCCAAGGTTACTGGGGAGGGGGTGGGATGCCAAAGTTACCTGCATTGCCCTGAGGGCTGTGCCTCCAGGTAGAGAATGGAGACCAGGGCCTTGCTTAGAAGGCAGAGGTGACAGAGCAAATGTAAAGCATTGGGAAAGTGGGAGTAATGGGCAGAGGGATGGAGAAACAATTTGAGATGAAATTATCAGGGTTAAGTGATTGCTTTTTTAGTGTGAAGGATAATGCATTGTATTTTTACTCTACTTCTTGACTACAAGAAACTCTTCCTCAAGCCAGTTTTTAAAAACTTAAAAATTTAAAAAAATACATGAATCACAGATTATTTAGGTGACACCAATACCTAGTGAAATAGCAGTCAGTGCTTGACTTTTAACTGTACTAACATTATTAGAATTCATTCAATTTAGATGGAAGTTTAGGTGTATCTTCTTTGACTAAAAAGATAGCTTTTGCACTTATTCTATATGTGTTAATTAAATGTAATTTATTAATATAAATTAGGACAAGTTAATAATTGTGTATTTTCTATGTATGCATATACATGTTATATATGGCTACCTTGTTATACTTTAGGGACAATATTAAGTCCCAATTTTACTTAATAAAGTTTGGATGGTGTCTTAGTTACTCTCCTGTCATTGCTAGGACAAATACCAGACACTCAAAATGTAGGAAGGAAAGGTTTATTTAGTTCACAGTTACTGGAGGTTTCAGTCCATATTCAGTTGGGTCCAAGGCAGAGCAGTACATAGCAGAAAGCAACTTTTCATGGAGGCGGCAAAGAGCAAGAGTATAAAAGGAGAGGTAGCAGCAGCTCAAGCAGCTAGCCTCTTTCCCTCCTTATATTGTAATGCAAATTACCTGCCCCAGGGCAGGTGCAGCATCCACACCCACAGTAATCAATCACAAACTCCAGAAGCTGCCCCAAGACTGCATGAGGCTTTGGGGGGACACCTATACACAAACCATAACAGATGGTCAGAGCAATTCTTTTACATAAAATTATAAGCTTCAGGATGTGTCTGCTTAGAGCTCACACCAAGACAGTCCTATCTATGGTGCGGAATAATAGATGGATTAGTTAGGTGCAACATAGACTATAACTTTGGCTCTATGTATGATTCTTCACTAACTCTTGGGTAGGGTGTTTAGCTTCAATGTCATTGGCATATATAATGGGATAATGCAATGTCCTACCAGATCTTGTAGATTTGATGTGGGGACTAAAATATTACTGTGCAAAATATTTCAGTAGGTTTGTGAGAATGTGTATTTGTAAAAGTGTTAATGGACATGTTTTATTAAGATTAAGATACTCACATTAGCCTCCTTGTCTTCCCTTTGGACAGTGTAAAGAACATGATCTGGCCATGATTAACCAGTTGCTGGATGATCCAAAGCTGACAGCCAGGAAATACAGAGAATGGAAGGTCATGAACACCCTGCTCATCCAGGACATCTACCAGCAGCAGCACGCCACACCTGCCCCGGAGGGCAGCCCCCAGGAACTCAAAAAAGAACCTTCTTCTGTCTGTGCTGACACTTGTATCTGAGAAAGAGCCAGGACTCTCTCCTCTCCTAGTGTGTTGCAAGAAATTCTACAAAAAGATGCCAAGAGCTTACATTTTTCCTTAAAAGGAAAACTGAAGTTCTTCAAGCAGCAGCTCTTCCTCTAGAGATACAAGTTGGGTGAAAAGAGTAACCAAATGCAGCAGAACCCCTGGTCCTACCTGGACCATGGCCCTTAGGATGGGGACGGTTGAGTTCCTTTGAGGAGCCATGATTTCATCCTCCTCAGGGGAGCTCTGAGCTGGACAAGGCTCCAGGTGACTGTGAGACATCTAGCTCCTGCCCCATGGATCATTCAGTTTTACTAGGGATACAAGTATCCTTTATTTCACAGAAAAGCTCTACTTTCCAATAGGAGCATGTACATGTCCACTTGTTGGACTGCAGAGTTCTCCTGTGAGTGGACCCTAACTTTTGCATACTTGTTTATATGCAGACCAAAAATTGTTTGCAGACAATTCTGATGCAGAATAGCAGAGGCTTGTTCTCTTGCTGAGAAATACTTTATAGAGCAAGGTGCACGGTGGCGCCTGGGGAGGAGGTGAGCTCGGTGCCCCACTCAAGAAGAGGGTGGCCTGGAAACTTCACACGTTGCCCTGGTCAGGTGATCTGGCTAATGTTCCTTTATCTCACAACACCTAGAGAAAAACTAGCACTTGAACGTTGGAGACCTCTACTCGCTCTTAGCTTTCCACATCAAAAGCAAGAGACAGGGATAAGGGCAGCAAGGGAGGTTCTGTGGCCTTTGACTGTGGCTGTGGTATCTGCGCACGGTGCGAAGCCATAACCAGTCTTTCTGGGTTAATATCGACAGGATGATTCTGGCTTCTGAATTAGTTTAGTCTCATTATTTGTGGAAGAAACAAACCCAAAGCAATCAAAACAAAAAAAGAAATAAACACAAGTGTTTTATTTTTGTATGTCACTTAGTGTGTTATGTGAATAGCTATCTATGTTTCTTATTTAAATATATTTATAGAAGTTAAAATTGCTAGTGTTTTGAAACATGATATACTATTATATGTTTTGTATATATATATATATATGTATATATATATATATATATATATATATATATATATATATATATATATATATATTCTAGAAGTATATACTTATTTTGCTTGATAAAATATTATGGATTTATTGGAGTTATGTTGCACTATAATGAATGAGGAATGCTCAGGAAATTTTGTGACAAAAGTAATGGAAGCATGTACTGGTAATTTTGTATTTTATGGATTCTCTCTCTTCCTCTCTCAATCTCCCTCCCCTGCGCTGTCTCTCTCTGTTTCTCTCTCTCTCCCTCCTCCCTTTCTCCTTTCCTCTCTCTACAGCTCTTAAATTCCTGTATCTGCTGTAAGTTATTCTCCTAAATTTCACTTTAGGTTATCTCTTGTATTCGATAAACTTTAAGCTTTATGCCATTGTGCTCACAAACCCTAGACCAAATGAAAAATAAACAGTGTAGTGTTTTGGTTAAAGATTCAACAACAATTTGGGGATTGCTAAGAAGTATCCATAGACAAGCAACGTGAAAGCTTTACTTCCTAATCAGAATGCAGATTTCTCATCATATTTCATCCCACAACCCACAAGAACCTGTTTTGACCCTACCTTCTGCTAGCAGATTGTTGATGTAAAACTATACCATCAAAGTGTGGCTTGACATTTAAGTAGAAATAACTTCCTGAATACATCTGCAAACTAGATGGAAATAGTTGTGGACTATTTCCCCAGGCTCTACTAAGAAGTCATCATTCTCTGTAAACAAACAAACAAGTATCTTAGCATTAAGAAGGAAAGAAAGGAAAGCCCAAAACAAAAAACAGGAAGCACGTTGTAATAATAGACACTTTGGTAAGTGACAATGCCACTCCGTTTGACCTAGCACACAGACATTTCTGGGCCAGGGGAAGCCTGAAGAAAATGAGCCACTTGGGTTAGATGATACTCTGGTTTTAGAGGTCAGTGCTTTAACCTTTTTGCTCTCCAAATTATCATTGATAGGTTCTGTGATTCACAGCTATTTGACATTTGATGGTTTGGGATTCAAAGGGAGATGGATTGTTTAGGGAAGGAGACATTGCGGTGAAGGAAGTCCAGGATCAAACCAAAGTGTATTTCCACTTCTTTGATGTGGTTTGCAGCACCAACCTGTAAGATTTCCTAAACATTTTTTCCTGAATTAAGGAGCTCCACTTTTGAGTAGGGCTTGCAGATACATGTAAATGTTTTAATTTGGCTTTTCATTAATACTTATTGAACTGAATTTTTAATGCAAACTCCTTCATTCAAATTTAAGGGCAAAGTCAGCTATGAGATTACTTGAGTAGGCTTTAAAGTTATTTTTAAACTCACTGCAAAGTTCACCTGAAAGCGTCTGCTTAAGTGAACATCTCCAAATGAAAGTTAGGCTGTAATTGTGTAACACTGCAGCCTGACTTTTTAGACCACACTGCCCACTTGTTAAGAGTTTTCTCTTTTGTAGGTAATTGCTTGCAGTTGGGCTTGGTTGTTAGGAAGCAGTGACAGCTACTGTGAGTTTCCAGCCTTTGCTGCAGCCACTAAGAGGCATGTGTGGGACACTTCCCATGCACTCCAAATTCTCACAATCCAAACAATTTTGAGAGAACTGGATTGCTTCCAGTTTACTGTTGAGGAGTGGTCACCTCTGAAATGGATCTTAGGTAGCTCATGGGGTCTAATGGCAGACTCCTTTGCCCACTTCTCTAGCTGTAGAGCCTGTGGAATAACCCAGAACTATGGCCATCCAGAAAGCAAATGGAAACCCATTTAGCTTGTAGACTCAGACTAGAGGCTGATATGGTACCCTCACTTGTTAGCAAATTGCAAATCCATACTGAATCCCACATCCGTCTTGCCTTTGAAGTGTACATGTTGCTTTTAAGCATTCTTACTTTTCCCACAATAAGCTCAAATCTCAGAATAGGATCAAAGTCCCAGAGAGAACTCTAAGCCTACAATTACCATGACTGTAGGAGGCCTAAGAGATCATGTTTGGAGTCAGTGTGAGCCCATGTCTTACATTTGCACAGCACTCTGTAGCTTGCAAATTGGTGTGGTCCATTCTTTCCCTCCTCTCTCATCCCAACCCTAACCCTCCTACTGCCCTGTGATCTAAGTGGGGTGATTGTGGGTTATCATTACAGTGAAGTGCTTGGCCCAGGGTCCCCAGTGGTGGAGCTGGAACTTGAGCTTCACCTCAGGACTCCCCCCTCCCCCTGCCTAGCCTGTTGTTGGAAAATTGCTGCTGGAGCCAGCCAGTTATGGAGCAAAAAGGAGGATTTGGATCCTGTGTCTCTTGCACTGGGGCTCACAAAACAGATGATCCCTGGTGGCTTTTTGCTATACCAGCCTAAGGGGCTTCTCTGTCCTGACTACTTTTCTGTCTGAAAGCCCAGCTATCACCTGCTGTTAGGCTGTCTGTGACCATCTCTTTCTGTAAGTTAGACTTGTTGTTAGTGCTGTGGGTGTCCTCATATGAAGGAAGGCATCTTTAATGGAATGGAGAGTGTTCCCTTTGTTTTCTTTCTGAGGTGCATCATGGCAGATGTGAGAGACCCAACTTAGTGATTAGAGATCAGTCCTCTGACTTTCCTGTCTCAATTTCTTCCCATATAATTATGATGATTTTCTCAGGAAGACTTTAAATCCCAACGTCAAAGAGATGAGACAGATTAAAAGAAGAGCAGTTGTCAGTCTTTTGAGGAGAGGTGCTATATCAATCCAAGCCATATTGAAATTCATGGACACATACCTCTTTGTGAAAGAGTCACACATAATTTAGTAAGTAACCTAAGTACTTACCTTCCAAATTTCACTTTTATTGAAAAGCCGCTTATCCAAATAAAGTTTTAGCATGTGTCTCTTTAGTCTAACAGAGACTTTCCCAATTATTCCCCTTCCAATGTTGTTTTTCTCACAAGAGAAATCTAAATTTAGCAAGAGGAGGTGATTGCCTGCCTATGGTTTTGTTATATGAAATTACAAATTAAAGCCCCTTACACTAGATATTTTACAGCCTCCATGAAGTGGGCTTCCTGCCTGAGTGAACATGAGCAGGAAGGAACAGTTTCTTTGCTTCTTAGGAAAATCTTTATTCTTTCCCATATGACCACTGCACTACATCAGAAATGTTAAAGATGGATTTTTAAACATTTTAAAATATGGGTTTTTTGCATTTCTCTTCCTGTGAAGAAACTTAATCACTCCGTATTGGCATTCCTTTAGCTGTAGTCCATGGAGACATTTAACACCCCGTAATAAAAAGCAGGGGTTCACATCACATGTTTTAATATCATTGCATGACGGGGATGTGATTTAATACTGCATGGCGTTTGGGGCAAGGTGTCAATGTGGCAGTGATGTCTTAAATTCTATTGTGCTTTTATTCTTTCTCATCTATCATTTTACTATACTGAAAAAAAGAGGCATGGCTCACTTCTCCTGCTTTATGTTTTTGAGGTTGACTTGTAAGATAAAAATAAAAACAAAAGAAAATGTACCTAGTAAAATGACATGGAAAAATGCACACTGTTAATATTGTTTAATTTCTGCCCTACCACGGTTGCTTCCTCAAAAACCAAGGTTGTAGTGCCCTCTGGTGGCAGATGCAAAGATACTAGATCCCAGACTTGATTTTATTTTTGTAAGAGATCTGATTATGTTGGGAATTCATTTCAACAGTAACTGTTGTGATCTGCTCCAGTGGTTCTCTGATGCTTACAGTTTTCAAAATTTACCAGTGGTTTATAAAATTTGACTTGCCTGTCATATTATTGCTAGGCATGCACATTTTGTTTAAAGAGCTTTACAAATTCATAGATTTAAAAAGTTACAACTGGTGGCACACAAGTCCCAAAAGTTATATAAGATATTTATGTGAAAATTAATCAAGAAAAGGTCAGAATATCCCCTCAAAGTGATTTGTACAAAGTCCACATTGGGATTTAATTCACACCTCCTTGCTTGCTGCTTACACAAATGAAGGGTTTTCCATCTCCTTCCCTGGTCCTCAACTTTCATGGCGAGCTCCACCCTATTTATACCCCATCCTACAACCACTAAATATTTCTTAGTTCCCCTATAGAAGTAGAATACATTATTTTAAAGTAAAGGGCTCAGAAGAAGGCCTGGATACAGTGTGTTCCTTATTTTTACACTACTCTTGTAATCCTCTCCTAGTCTTCCTGTAGAAGACTAACTCAAATCTAGTGTCTTAAACAGGTTTGTTATCTTACCATTCTGGAAGTCAGAATTCTGACATAGTTTTCCATGAGTTAAAATCAAGGTGTTGTCAGGACTGCTGCAGAGAGAAATCATTTCTTTAGCTTCTGGAGCTTCTAGAGGTCCCTCACGCTGCCTCATAATCAAGGTCCTCATCTTCAAAGTTAACAATGTCCTAGCCTGATGTGTCTTTTATTCCATAGTCACATCTTCCCCAGACTCATTCTGCTAAGGCAGCTTGTGTTTACAGTGTCCCCACCTGGAGAATCCAGGCTAATCTCTTTATTATAAGGTCAGTTGATCCGCAATTATCCCTTGTCCCTAGTCCCCTCTGTAACATAGATCCTGGTTATGCTGCTTACTACAAACCATTGCAAGTGTCTGGCAAAATCCCCATGAGCCATTAACACACCCCAGAAATACCAGGATTTCAAGGTTTTGCCAACAAGCATGAAAGTCCTCTGTCGTACCATGTGACTTGAACTTGACTACATTGAGGTAGGTTCACCATAGGAAACACAATTCTACTTTTATGAGGGGGAAAAGGAAGTCAGTCCTGGATTTTACAATGACATGTACCTAGGTACAATAGGGACGATAATTCAGGAAGCATCAGCTGCCCACAGTGCCTGCAGTAAAGGCAGCTGGTGCAACTTCTTCAGTGTATGAGAGGTGCGTGGGATCGAAGCAGCTGAGTGTCATGACGTTCAGAGAACTAGGCCAAGTCACTTCACAATGTAAAACAAATGG